GTTGCGCAGAGCTTTGTCAACCAAAGCCGTGGGCCAACCATAGATGGGGGAATCAACCTTCCTGGTGTTTTTGGTTTGCCATCGAAGTTGTGCATTTGCAGAGGCAGACCTAGGGCCATACTTGAGGATATAGTCAAAACCTGCATCAATTTCATCATCGTCTTTGTCTTCAAATGCACCTGCCTTTGCGGGTTTGCGGGTAGCGGCACTGGACAACTCAAAGCATTTGAACTGGCGACCCCCTAGTCCTTCAAGACAGTACTGCAAAACCTTTCTTCCAACTTTGGGGTTTTGGGTCACCCATTTGGCGCGGTAGGGGGTGCCGTACACAAGGGAGCGAACCATATTGGGTTTAACCTTCTCTGGGCAAGTCATATGCTTCAAGATGGCATGGTTGCTGTCTGTGTCTTTCAAGATGACGATTTGCATACGGGTGTCGGGGGAGACTTGCTTCTTGAGGCCGAAGGGATCTGGTAGTAGCTGTAGGTCATGTCTGTCGCAAGCATTCTTGTACGCTTTTCCCAAGGCATCAAAGTCAATCGCATTTTCATACCCAAAGATGATGTCATAGAAATGGACCATTGGGGACTCCGATGTGTTGAAATCATCCTTCGGGAAGGCATCCCATTCAAAAGAACCTCTGGGTAGCTCAGGAGAAACACTAGCAGGAATGCTGCGTAATGTTAATCCTTCGGTTACTTCCTTCAAATCGTCATACGTCATATTTTCCGCTTCCAAAGGCATGACGGGCACACGCACCAAGTAGCTTAGAAGGATAGGGCACGAACTACGGACTGGAGCATAAATATACATACATAATGTGACAAGTCATGCGATACCACCTGCAGCAATGAGAACATGTCTTAAAACTCATTATATAGGGACTTTGTGAAAAATAGTGATTTATATGGAAATTACACGGGCGTGGGGCGTCCCCCTCTCTATTTCTATGGTTTATAATATTTATTTCTATGGTTTATAATGTTTATTTCTATGGTTTATAATGTTTATTTCTATGGTTTATAATGTTTATTTCTATGGTTTATAATGTTTATTTCTATGGTTTATAATATTTATTTCTATGGTTTATAATATTTATTTCTGTGGTTTATAATGTTTATGTCTATGGTTTATAATGTTTATTTCTATGGTTTGTAATGTTTATTTCTATGGTTTGTAATATTTATTTCTATGGTAGTTTATAATGTTTATTTCTATGGTTTATAATGATTATTTCTATGGTTTATAATGATTATTTCTATGGTTTATAATGTTTATTTCTATGGTTTATAATGTTTATTTCTGTGGTTTATAATGTTTATTTCTTTGGTTTATAATGTTTATTTCTATGGTTTGTAATGATTGTTTCTATGGTTTATAATGTTTATTTCTATGGTTTATAATGTTTATTTCTATGGTTTATAATTTTTATTTCTATGGTTTTTAATGTTTAGCTCTATGGTTTATAATGTTTATTTCTATGGTTTATAATGTTTTTTAAAAATAAATGGTAAACATAATTATAACCATTATAAACCAACTGTCTTTTTGGTGGGGATTTTTGTGTGGAATTCTCCGACAAACTTCCAAGGTGTCGCTAATGGAGTCGTTAGCTTCGCCGAAAAACAACCCAAATGGGGCCATGGATTTTTCAGACCTCCGGGGACCGAGGTCTCCGCAAATCTTCTCCAAATCAAAAAACTGATTTTTTGGGCCGCCTTTTTTCGCATGAAAAAAGGGGCATGGTTCACTGGTTCACCAAAAATGCTCGAAATCATGCACATATTGGGTTCAATCCCCATTCTTGTTGCGTGAATAGTCAACTTTCTGCGCTTTGCTCACCTATCTTGGTAAAAGCATGTAAAAGTAACATCCACCTAAGAAACATGTTCATAAACAACAGTACAAAGAAAAAGAAACGTTATCTGTTCCAATGGTTTATAATCACTAATCAACAGTCATACATCACCTTTCATAAACCATTGGTTCATCAATATATAATCATCAACCATTGGTTCATTACTGTTCCAAGAATGATAAACCTAAGATTGATAAACACATTCATTATTACTCTGGTTTATAATGTTTATTGGTAATCACTTAATTAACAGCCATATATAGTAATATATCACCTAATAAACCATAGTCAGTTGGGATGAAAAATAATCCATTCATGTTCCAAACCACCAACCAGTAGTAAACCATCATTATGGGTTTATAATGTGTATTTCTAATAACTTATTAACAGTAATAACACTAATATATCACCTTTCATAAACCATAGTAATAGATGATCTTCCAATCTAGCCAGTTGGGATCATGAAATTCCCAATGATGATCTTCTATAATCACTAATTAAATCTAATTAACAGTAATATATAGTAATATATCACCTAATAAACCAATCATCGGCGCCACGGCTCGGGCGTGTCGCCAGACACCGCGGTGGATTGGACCTCGCCCGGGTTCACCCGACCATCCACGCCATAGCCGCCTCGGGCGTCCATGGTGATCCAAAGATGGGGGAAACATTGGGAAAACACATGAAATTGATGAAAACCATGGGAAAACATAGGGAAAAAATGAGAAAAAGAGATCGAAACCATTGAAAACCCATGAAAACCCATAAAATTCGATGAAAAACCTATCTAAAACCATTGAAAAACGGATCTACCCTCTGGTAAACGTTTACAAAACTATGGAAAGACCCACCATTTCATAGCTGGGAAAATCACCTATTTCGACTGGGCCATTTTCAACAGCAAACTGTAACGAATTACAAGAGGGTAAAACCATTGAAAAGCCATTAAAAGCCATAAAATTTCATGGCTTTCCCAAGGATAATTTCTGTTCCAACTTCCAAAGAGAAGATCATCCCACTTGGTGAACAGCCCAGCAAGTTTCCCAGGGTATAGTACATTTATCCCACATACGTCATGACCCCTGACCACTGTTCTTTTCTTTAAGTAAACTTCAATATATATAGCCAAACAGAAAAAATACAAAATGACACCAAAATTTTGACCGGTTCAAAATATGCAGCGCTTACCCAAAAAAACGAAGTGGTCAGGTGCTCTAGGTATAGATGGGTTCAAACCCTGGTTGCCAACCACCTACTAATTAAACGGGTGTGTCTGAAAATGGGACATACGAAAATGGAGCATACCCCCCAAAAAGAAATTTTGTACAGGGAAACGGGAAACTGATTTTACAAACCAATGGTTTTCGGATATTTTTGTTCAGGGTTCCCCGAAATTTCCACTCCAAGCCACCTTGTAAAGTATGATCCTCCCAAATGGAGGTCTCCTAAGTCATGAATTTACTCCAGTCCTCAGAGTATTTTAGAAACCTATGGTGACTTATAGTGATCCATGGTGATCCCCCAAGGCGACTTTTCCGAAACACCGAAAATTCGCGGAAAATTTTTCACCGAGGCGCAGTGGTTCTTGGATTTCTGCAAGATCCACAAGGCCGAGACGCCCACATTGGGCCCCAGTAGCCGCCCTGACCGCTCCGAGCGCCCAGAGAGGTTCGGAGTCGACCTCGAGGACTTCATCGCATTTTCACGGAGCGGTGGAGGCTGAACGTCTGCGGAGCGGGGAGTGAGATGTTGGCTGATCTTGGGGGGATTTTGGGCAAAGGTTTGGGAGCTTTGGGTGGAAAAACTATGAAGAAGCTCGAGATTTTGAACTGACCCTGCTTCTTCAAGCACCTATCCTGGAGATTTTATGTGCAACAATGGAGGTTTGCAAAAAAACAACTGACATGGGGACATTAAATTGAAGAATGGCTGCACGAGCAGTGTTCAACCTGGAATCTTACCCGTTGGGAAACTACCTTCAACTGGTACCGGGCCTTAAGCTTGATACTCCCATCATAGAGCCTGAAATCTGAGCCAGGTTCTGATGTGAGTTCCTCTTGCCCTCCCAGATCCCAGCTCCTTTTTCCAACTTGTCTAGCTGTAAATGGAGGTCTAGAGACAGGGCCGGAAAGCGGCACCTGCTAATAGCGGCCCTATACCCTTTACATATCGCTTTCCATTAGTGGTTTCGAATCAAACATCAACCCCTCAAGCTGCGCAGCCCCAGGCCGCGGCGAGGCGAGCGCCAAGTGCGGGGCCTGCCGGCCTGACCGCCGTAGGTCATGGTCTGATGTCATGTGTTTGTTGGTGATGAAAAAGTTCAGGGCAAGTAGTGTACAAAGAAAGATGTGCATACTGTAGACTAGTAGATACCTATATTATTACATGTGGATATGTGTGGATATGTGTGGATATATGTGGATATATGTGGATATATGTGGATACATGTGGATACATGTGGATGTACGACTCTCATATGTGGATACATTATGTGGATATATGTGGTTTTTGTGGATGCAAGCGATTGATTTGGATTCCATGTATCATCTATGCCTATAGCTGGGGATCCCCTCATACCTCAAGACAGGCAGGGCTGGTCAAGATTCTGCTTGGAGGACCCGGGTGTAAATTGTTTGTTGGAGCCATACTTGGGTGTTGCGCGGTGTATTTAAATTATATTACCCTCTGGTAATTTCATAGCTATTAAAAATGGCCCATTAATAGTTGATTTTACCTATTATATAAAGATGGTGATTTTCCATAGCTATGTTAGTGTACCAGACGGTATGTATCTATACACACGTATACAATGGACATGTTTGCATGCCCATTTCTTTTAGCAACATCTCCCGTAGCAAACATGACCCTTCTTTTTGGGCTGTGACAAATTGCTGAGATCAACACCTAGATCAAGCCTCAAATGATACGGATGTTCGGGTGTCCGAAGTGACCAAAACCTTCTGCAGGATCTCAAGAGGCATTGCACCCCAAAAAACATGGATCTGAAGGATGACTTTCCAAGTGGTGGGCAGGGACTTTTTCGGGTTTCATCCTATATAAAACTTCTGGGCACAGCCAAAGTTGGGAACTCCAAAACTTTGGCACAGCTGCACTCTCTCCAACAACCCCTCTATCCCGCCTACTTCAGGGCCGTCAAAATCTCTGGAGCAAACCTGAGAGGTGCTATCAAGAAGTGGCAATCTCCAGGTTTTGTTCCTGACATCCCCATGTTTCTTGGATCCCCGTTCAGATTGGACCCGAGGGGTTGGGAGCCCCATTTTGTAGCTACAGAACGGCGTCCCCAAGGTGCCCTTCTTACAGTTGGCAGAACCCAACGTTCACCGAGGAAGGTTTTTGTTCCAAAATGGCAGTCCAAGCTGACCCCTAGTTACAAAATGAGTCACCGATTTTGCTCGACTCGCATCCGCTCGCATCCGTTGGCTCGATTTGCCCTTTACAGAATGGTGGGGACTGGGGGTGGCTATACTCGCACTATCCTAGGATCCCTGGGAAGTAACCTGCAACAGCCCGGCCAACCCGAGTCGCGGTTCATTTTTTCCGTTCTTTTGCGTTCATCCGTCTGTTTTGGGGTGACGCTGTCTGAGTGGCCAAGCTAAACACTAAATACAACGTTGGATGTCATAATCAAAAAATATATAAATATCGATATATATATATTATCTGACCCCTAGTTACAAAATGAGTCACCGATTTTGCTCGACTCGCATCCGCTCGCATCCGTTGGCTCGATTTGCCCTTTACAGAATGGTGGGGACTGGGGGTGGCTATACTCGCACTATCCTAGGATCCCTGGGAAGTAACCTGCAACAGCCCGGCCAACCCGAGTCGCGGTTCATTTTTTCCGTTCTTTTGCGTTCATCCGTCTGTTTTGGCGTGACGCTGTCTGAGTGGCCAAGCTAAACATTAAATACAACGTTGGATGTCATAATCAAAAAAAATAAATATCGATATATATATATATATATTATCTGACCCCTAGTTACAAAATGAGTCACCGATTTTGCTCGACTCGCATCCGCTCGCATCCGTTGGCTCGATTTGCCCTTTACAGAATGGTGGGGACTGGGGGTGGCTATACTCGCACTATCCTAGCATCCCTGGGAAGTAACCTGCAACAGCCCGGCCAACCCGAGTCGCGGTTCATTTTTTCCGTTCTTTTGCGTTCATCCGTCTGTTTTGGCGTGACGCTGTCTGAGTGGCCAAGCTAAACATTAAATACAACGTTGGATGTCATAGTCAAAAAATATAAATATCGATATATATATATATAGATATTGTCTGACCCCTAGTTACAAAATGAGTCACCGATTTTGCTCGACTCGCATCTGCTCGCATCCGGGGACTGGGGGTGGCTATACTCGCACTATCCTAGGATCCCTGGGAAGTAACCTGCAACAGCCCGGCCAACCCGAGTCGCGGTTCATTTTTTTCCGTTCTTTTGCGTTCATCCGTCTGTTTTGGCGTGACGCTGTCTGAGTGGCCAAGCTAAACATTAAATACAACGTTGGATGTCATAGTCAAAAAATATAAATACAACTGATGTTAAATTTGTTCACGTTGGCATCAATAAAGTGCACTTATCAGACTGCATTGGAACTTGATGCATTCAATATACACTCTCATTTGAGATCTCCTAGGCTATGAAAATTATTCTGTGATTTTTTGATTCCATCCAGTTTGTAGGGGCTATAGTTGAGTATTATCCATTTACGCTTTGAATCCATCCAATTTGTAGTGGTTATTGATTAGCCCTCCAGACTCCAACAGAATGGTCGGGACTGGAGGGTAACAAACTCGCACTTCCAATGCAAAATTCCGGTACCAGGGGGGTCCACTTACAAGATGGCAGAACCCAGGGTCAAAATTTTGCACAAAATGGTAGCCAAAAACCATTCTGCAACGGCCCTGAGGCCTCAGATTTAGTAACAAAAAATTCAACGGGTATTTTCTTGGTGATTACATTTCCCATGTTTGACGGAAAAAAATGCGCGTCTTTATGCGGACATCACTCATAGTCCCCATGTTTGTGGACCAATTGCAGCTTACATGGGTGTGTCCAAAAATGTGGGATCATTACCCTAATGTATACATATATATATACATACAAATATATATATATCATATATATATATATCATATATATCATATATATATCATATATATATGATATATATATATGTATATAATATATTGCACTTTCAATAGGAAAAAAAAATAGCTGCTAGAAGCCAATGGATTTGAGGTGGATTTGAGGCGCCTTCTCGGCCGTGCCGAGAAAAAAATGGATTGTCCTCTTGTCATCAAACACGGCAATGGAAAATCCCCATTTTTAATAGGGTTTTACCGGAAAATCATCGAACTACCATCTGGTTATGACTAACAGTTCGCCATGGAAAATCACCATTTTTAATTAATAGGTAAACCATCTATTTCTATGGGCCATCTATACCATGGCTATGTTAGTCATAACCGGTAAATGCTGGATTTTCCCCCTCGGCCAAGTCGCGAATCCTCGCCTTTGGTGATCTTGGTGATCTTGCCATCCTGAGCTAAGTGGGTCCAAGGCAAAGTTGGTGAACTCCAATTTGGTTTCGGGTTTATGATGTGTTTGTTGCAGTGATCACTAAATTAATCTATATTATAACTATATATACATATGATAACTATATTATAAGTATAATATATATATATATTATAAGTATAGTTCATGGATGTTCATGGGGTTTTCAAACCAACTTACAACTGGGGCCCCACCGTCTAGGCTATGGTGCGGTCGTTCGGTTGCTGAACATAACTCCAATTTCACGTTTAAGGGATGTTTAAGGGTTGATTAGCCCAAATAACATTACATAACCAAACTAATATACCCTCTGGTTATTTAACATAGCCATGGAAAATCACAAAATTTAATAGGTAAATCAACTATAGATGGGCCATCTATACCATGGGTATGTTAGTCATAGCCAGAGGGTAATTATTTGGGTCTCCAAAGGGGATAACCTTAACTAACATTACCAGCGGGGCACCACCCTGAGGTATCGTTGTCTCCAGGGCACGTCGATGATCATGGCATACCTCTCCGACCTGCGGTCGCATTTTGGGCTACAAGGATAGCTACTTGGGCAGGACTGTGAATGGAGATAACCATGGCAATTGCCCGGGAAAATTTATGGATATAACTAACCTTAAAACTATGGTTAGTTATACTGTGTATCCAATATATCTACTTATATAGTTACTTATAGCGGGAACTGCAACGATTCTCGTGTGATGGTTTGATGGTTTTCAGGAACCTTTTGCGGTTTTGCTATCTCCCAGGGTTGAACGAAACCACATGCACCTACACAATATTTTTGGTATGTGTCCTTTCGTAGCATTGCGTGTGCTAGCGATTTTAATATCACATAGTTGTATGTTGGTATCTGATTTCTACTGAAGGAATCCCCAGTTGTTGAGATGACATCTCAATTTCACTAGCAGTCAACGATGGAGACAATTATATTCATTGGAACACCGTGCTATCAAATTATCAAATTCCAATGCCGGGACCATGCCCACCAAACAGGCTGTGGCTAATCTTCTGGCCTCAAAGTTGCCATTGTTCTTAGATACCCTCTGGTAAACTAACATAGCTATTGAAAATGGCCATTTATAGTGGATTTACCCATTTAAAATGGTGATTTTCCATAGTTTATTGTATGTTTACCAGGCCGGGTATGTTTGGCGATCTCTCTTGCTGGGCACAGTGTGATTGTCGATTGAATTCCACTTGTGTCGCAGGCCATGAGACTTGCTCTTCTCCAATGACACATTTTTAATTTTGGTCGAACAATTTCTGTTGGATTAACACGCATGAAAACCAGCTATTTCTGTTGGTTCCCATTTTTTGCTGGGTGCAATCCCATTGCCACAGAAATCATTTGTCGCTGACAAATCTCATTTCTGGCCAAACCCATCTAAATCCGATTTTCCTTGGCTTTTTTTACCCTCTGGTAAACATACAAAAAGCCATGAGAAATCACCATGATTAATAGGTCAATCAATTACATATTTCTATGGACCATTTTCAATAGCGAACTGTTAGTTTACTGGAGGCTACTTCATGGGATATGTAAAATCACCATTTTTATTAGGTAAATCAACTATTTCAATGGCCATGTTCAACAGCAAACTGTAACAAATTACCAGAGGGAAAGTATTGTTTTCCTCCCAAGTCTTGCTGATCAGATCCCAAAGGATTCCATGGCCGAAAAAAACACAGCCATTGTTTGTATATCCATGGCCGAGATTGGTTGCTATGTTGGTACACCAACAATCCCCTGGTATAGATTCATAGATCCTTTAAGTTATGTTTGTTATGAGTATTATTACAGTAAATTGACAGATATGTTATATCATTATATCATATTATATCTATGTTGGAATAATATATATATATATCCCCAACAATGGAACTGTTTCCTACATTGCTTCAAGCTTTAGTTCTGAGACACCCCCTGTCAACAAATGTGTCGCGTCTCGTACCTGATGTTTCCCAACTTCGCGGAAGCATCCAGCTCCATCCCCAAAGCCTCGTCACTAAGGGGGATGGATGCACTGCATAGTGTGTGGATGGTATATGTATCTATTAATAACTATTTACCCTCTGGTAATGACTAACAGTTTGCTATTGAAAATGGCCATTGAAATAGTGGATTTTCCCATTAAAAATGGTGATTTTCCATAGCTATGTTAGTTTACCAGAGGGTAATAACTATTTATACACGAAGAAAAACAGAATTGTACCGTGTGCAACATATTATAAAATTATAATTCATAATTTCAGCAAGCATCAAATGGACGAAACGAGAGATGTTGAGATTTTTCAAACGGAGAGTGACAGACAATGGCAAGGTTCTGAGCGCTCAACAGTACCAGAAGACATCATAAAATCAAAGACGCCTCTACTGTTCGATACCCTATGGTAACTTTATAAACAGTTTGCAAATGAACATCACCACTAAAATAATAGATAAATCATCGAACAAAGGGGATTTTCCATAGCTATGTGAAGAATTACCAGAGGCTATGCCAAAAGGGTCACTGTAGGTCAGTAAGTCAGTAGGTCCCTACCATGGATAACAGCAATTCTTTTCGAACCACAAATCTCGTCTGAGCAAACCGTTAATGTATCGCGCAATGTATCACTCACCTGACATGGTCGGCATTTTGGGCATGGTGTTTCCCTTCAAACCACCATCTTTGTCACATGGCACAACTTCCGGGGAAAAGATATGATTATCCAACTTGTGGGATATCATATGAACTCATCTTAACTCTTAACCCTGATATGATATAATATATCATAGTAGCAACGATGGCAACCTCCAAGAAACGATAGAAGACGATTAAAAACAATCCGATTTACCTAAATTCTCAAGCTGTTTGGGGTTTCTAAAAAAGAAAAAACATTACCATATATGGAGGTGTCCTAAGTCAGCTACCCAATAGCTGGATGCATGGAAATTCATGGAAAATTCGATTGAAATGCATCTGGTTGGTGGTTTCAACCACTCTGAAAAATATATGAAAGTCAGTTGGGATAATTATTCCCAATATATGGAAAGTCATAAAATTCCATGGTTCCAAACCACCAACCAGGGATCATTTGGGGGTCCCATTGGAAAGATCCCACGTGGCCCTTTGTGCTTTTTGGCCTTGGTCAGCTCACACTTGGCATCGGCCAGCATGCGGACCTTGCCCTCGGCCTAACGTTGCGTGGCAATGGAAAGCATGCCCCATGTATGTGGTAAAGCCATCAAGATCCCCTATAACCAGAAATAGGTGGTATATACTCTCCATCCATTGGAGGTCTATTAAATTTAGTATATACTCTCCATCCATTGGAGGTCTATTAAATTTATTATTGGGTTTACCACATTAGATGCTTTTCCCAGCTGTAAACCTCCGTTTACAGAGGCTTTTCCAGCCACCTGTGAAAAAACCGAAGGGTAATCAACATCTTTGGCCGGTTTTGGCCATGTGAATACGTCTAACATTCGAAGTTATTCTTAGTTTCTTAGTTTGTTGTAGTAGCACACAGAAAATTATTGAATGTGTTTATGTATGTATAATGTTGACCAGCTAAGATAAGGCAACCTGCCAGAATGTATAGTTCATAGAAAAGTAGGTTATACTTGGTGATACCACTGGTTGATATTATTATGTTATCTATGTATGATTACAAGACCGGTGGATATTATATATATGATATATATATATATATGATTGCAGCATTTACATTCCTAGTTGCAATTATAGCAGTTGGTATATGGTCAACACATGCTACGAACCGGTATGTATGTTGTTGACAAGGTCAAAAACCATGGTTGTTTTTGACAATCTTTACTAGGGGGAACGGTATTGTCGCTTCCAAGCAATGGCTTTGTGATTTTGTGAGCTTTTGGACGCCTTCCACCATAAAACTGTATTGCATCGTAATCCCTCTCGCACCCGTTTTGCTAGGGGATAATAATTACCATAGTTCCCATTGAGCACTGGATGTCATCATCAACTGATGGTTTGACAACGAATCATCCTGTCAGATAGTTGCCAATGGAAATGACGCTCATTGGGGAGTGTTTTTTGCTGCAGGCCATCCGAAAGATATGTAACATGAACTAAACTGTGAAAATAATCGCACTATATCCCAGTTTTAGCATGAACACCACGCTACTTGAAACCACCAGGTGCTTTATATATGTCACGATTTATTCGTCAGTCAAACCACTGGGATTCTCAGTGGAAGCGCCACATTTTGTCTGTTGATATCCTTAACAGCTGTCGTTTGATCATTGCAGTGATTCCCAAAATCGTGGGGAAATCTCTGTTTACTTCCACCCTCCGATAATCAAACATTCGCTGGGAAATCCCCTATACCCCCTGGTAAACATACAAAAAACTATGGAAAGATCCACCATTTTTATTGGGTAAATCCACTATTTCAATGGCCATGTTCAACTTAGCAAACTGTTAGTCATTGCCAGAGGGTACCCAGCTCATTTCAATAGGAAAATCACTGAACTTGGGGGATTATCAAGCCCAGTTGATTACCAGAGGGTGATAAAAAATAAAAAAAACACCGTGAATGACGATATATGGACCACATATGACCATTATTTCTCAACTACCCTCTGGTAATGACTAACATAGCTATTGAAACTCACCATTTTTAATGGGAAAATCCACTATTAATGGTCATTTTCAATAGCTACGTTAAATTACCAGAGGGTACATCCCACATATTTTCTGGTCGGTGGTTGAGCCCAACCCCTCTGAAAAATGATGGAGTTCGTCAATTGGGATGATGAAATTCCCAAGATATGGAAAGTCACAATCCATTCATGTTCCAAAGCACCAACCAGTTCTGGTCCACGTCCAAGCCCCTTGTATTCCTGTCATTTCTGGTTGCTTCTTTGGGGCTTCACAAAACCCATCAAAACCCCCAAGGTTCAGCGCCTTCTGCTGCTCGCCCCAAGCTTTCATCACGAAGGCATCGTTCACGGCCACGCAGGCCACCACCTCCACAACCCAGGGCCAAGATGTGCCAAATGAACAGTGTATAGTATGTACCCTCTGGTAAACATACAAAAAACTTTGGGAAATCACCATTTTTTATGGGAAACTCCATTATTTCCACGGCCATTTTCAATAGCAAACTGTTAGTTTTACCAGAGGGTAATGATGATGGGGGAAGAACGGACCAGATATAATTAGATCATAAGATATCATATGGAATTTTTGTCACCGTTCAATCCCCAATCGATTGATCCTAGGGGATTTGACCAAACATCAAGGGGGATATAATAGCTATGTCATGGGAATAGTTGATAGGAATGTAAAAAGCCTCTAAATTTAAGTAGGTTTACTAGGATTTATGCTGGATAAATTATATAATTTTATCATGTATAATAATGTTCCATGGGCTTACGAAGGAATTTATACCTGTTCAAGAACCTGGAACAATCGTGATATATAATATGTGTATGTACATATGTTTGTTGTATATATTATTACATATTATTATATATTATTATATATTGTTATATACTATTATATATTATTATATATTATTATCTATTATTATATATTAGTATATATTATTATATATTATTATATATTATTGTATATTATTATATATTATTAGATAGTATTATATATTATTATATATTATTATATATTATTATATATTACTATATATTACTATATATTACTATATATTACTATATATTACTATATATTACTATATATTACTATATATTATTATATATTATTATATATTATTATATATTATTATATATTATTATATATTATTACATATGTTTGTTGTATATATAATAATATATATTATTATATATTATTATATTATTATATATTATCATATAAAACTATCTATATATATAATATCTATATTATATATACATATTATGATATTATTATTATATTATTATATATTATTATATATTTATATACCTATCTATATATATATGTATATATATAGTGATATGTTAGTGGGTACGCCAGGATTCACAGGATCAAATCGGAATATCATGAAGAACAAATGTCTCATTTTCGCTGGGACGATCCCAAAGACGGCGCCTCGGCCCCAGCGGCTTTGAGATCCTCAGCTTTCTCGATGTAGCCGGGCCTCCGCGTGCGGAATGGATAGGACAAAAAACATGGGGAAAAACACATGGAAAAACATGTGACATGCTGAATTTCTCCTGGAGTCCTGGAGGGTTTTTGGAGGGATTCGGAATTGGATTTCAGATGATGATGCCAAGTTTGAGCGATCCTTTGTCTGAGACCAGCAAAATTCTCCGAACATGGACAGCTCGAACGGCCACACTTTGCCGTAGTTTCTTCGGAGTCCAACAATGTAGGTCAGCTGAAATCCATTAGATAGCTTCCATTCTGATACGGAGCTACAGTATGCAGTCTCGTTGGTGCTTTCAATCCATCCCCACTCTTAGAAATGATCGTCAATGACCATCGTCTCAAAAGTAGAACTGGAAAGTGAGGAATACCCAAAAAGCCTCAAACCGCCCAAACCGCCAACTAGGCAATTCTTGATTGGTTAGGGAGACGGTCCAGTTCTACAGGAACATAGGCCCTAGTCACCAGCTGGTTCCTCAAAACGAGCGCGAGTTGCGGATGCAGAAAGTCGTAAGGTCCGTAAGGTCCCGGGCAGGTGCTGTTCGGAGCAAGTGGGCCTGGCAACGCTAGAAATGCCGCTGATCCAGGAACATGTCAATGTGACACGGGATTTCACTTGGAAGATGTTGGAAGGGTGAAATTGATTTCGACATTATGGGGATGGGATGTGTATGCAATTCCTGAATCTATATTTTTGGTGATGAAAGGAGACTAAAGCTTGTGGTCTGTTATTGAAGCTCCACTCATCCCAAAATGTAAAATGGTGTTTTGGTCATCCCACCATCACTGGAATTCAAACACCTTTTTGGGGGGCATAGAAGTCCCGATTTCTTCATATCACTACCTAAGGACAGGGGTTTGTCCAAAAATGATGGTATATGATGGTGTTCGAGATTGGTCAGTTCAAGAAATAGGGACTATTTAATCTATTTATGAACCACTGGATTTCAATGGACTTTTGATGTTTTAGATATTTTAGGCGTACCCGGATCCTATTTTTGGATAACCCATGATAACCCCATGTTTCATGTCATATCGCCTCTCCCAACACTGTGCCAGGCAGACGTGAAGGCTCCTGGCACTGCGAAGAGGACTCCCTTCTTGCCTGCACAGAACATGTGGTTGAATGTGGTTGATCCAAATTCGTTCATCAAACATCACATGAATTCTCTTCGCGATCATACTTCTTTACAAAGACCTTTAGATCACCATGTGGCCTTGCAATGAAAAAAACACCGGGTGGGGGTTCACTTCACCACCAACCAGTGTCTAAGCAACATGCCAAGGCCTCCTCCTCCTTGGTGTCTGCTACTACCATTCCATGTACCCACAGTATGGAAAGCAACGGGAATGGCGGGTTCCCAAATTGTGTGGGGGTACCCTGGTGAACCCCCACATCCCCAGAACTTCCCAATTTCGGTGATAAATATTAGGTCAAGTCAGAAAAGCCAGGCCCTAACTATATTGCTGAACTCCATCTTCCGAAATCCATCGAGTGGTAATTTGTGACAGTTTGCGAACTGGAAAATGGCCCAGTCGAAATAGTTGATTTACCCATTAAAATGGTGATTTTCAATAGTTATGTAAACGTTTACCAGAGGGTAAATCCCCAGTAGATCCCAATATCAATCCCGACCCAGCCACGCTGCGCCACCGAGCCTTTGAAGAGTTCCGCCACGTTCACGCCCTCGCCGGGCCTCAACGAGCCAAGCCACGGGGGAAGGTTTGGCTTAGTCATGTGACAGTCGATGACGGGATTATCGAATAATTCGATGAACATTATATAATATTATATTACTAATAATAATAATAGATAATAATAATTAATAATTATAATTATTTTGTATAATAAGAATAGATAATAATTATTATTAATAATAATTATTATACTAGTATATATATAATATATATATAATGTGGTAATCCCATTATATATATATATATTCAGAGAGAATTATCTGTGTCATGATCATACACGTCATATAATCATCACCTCAAAGTAGAACTGATCATGGAATCACATGGATTATCACCATGTGACCACTCAAATGGA